TGAGGAAAAAATAGAGAAAGGACATTCAAGCACCATGATTGGGTAACATGTAGATCCCTATCTGATTGTTGAAATCATGGCGCAATGTGTCCTACTTCATGTATCCACGTGGGGGCTACAATATAGGTCAGCATGCAGATAGATTACAGCTATTAAAGAGTCCAAATATACTAGAATACTATACAAAGGACCATAATCAACTTTGGTATATATTGAGTTTCCAAGAATGAGAATATTCTCCTTGGTCAACTTTGGTGAGTTTCAGAGAATGTAAGGATTCTAAGTCAATTTGCCTTATCATCATATGCTCCATCATAGGAGGTTTACTTAATAGCAACATAGAGCCATAATATTCACTATAGCGGATAATCACTTCACTCAAAACTAATAACGTAATGTTTTCTATAGCAAGACTTACTTAATCTAAGAACATAAATGCAAAACTATGGGGCTAACATGACAACATATACTATGCATCTATGGCCACAGTCAAGGGTCTCTACTCCTTTCCTTTTTGATTTTCTGATTCTTAGATCCAAACAACGACTCCACATGACATGAAAGAGTTAGACATTCATAGGCTCCCGACAATTATCTCCACTTCTTCCCACATGCATCACATGAGTAATCTTGCAGTAATTTTTGAGGCACCACCATTCCTTAGAAGCATTAAATAGATATGTCAATTCCCTGCAAGGGGCATAAACTGGTTTCAGTCTTGATAACTGGAGGCCTATAAGTAGGTTACCACGCAACACATGGATATATTAAACTACAACTATTGGGTCACTCGTGTCAACTTAAGATACTCCAACTTTTTGTGTTTGGATCAACAAGTAAGCTAGACATAGTATCACACATACAACAGAACTAGTTATCTATAAGAAACTCTCCAAACATATCTACATCTAAGACAGGATTAAAAACTGACTTCTTGAGTATATCATCGATTAATTTAATTTCTTGGATTATACTTTTCAGTATCAATAGATAGCCTTTCAATTGTTTTCATCCTCAAAGTGAGTTTTTTGCTCCACATGAAAGCAGTCTAGTTCAAAACTTCACATTCCATTCTTATTATTCGCTATGATTCCTCAAAATTATTGCCTGGAAGCCCCAACAGCTCCAACCACCAACCCCCACCCCCCCCTCCCCCTCCCCCTCCCCCTCCCCCTCCTCCCACCCCAAAAAAAAATAAAAAGAAAAAAGAAAAAGTTATCCAAACTGCTCCTAAACAACTCCCTAAAAGTTATGTCCCATACATCCGTCATCTTTTCAACAGTATATCCTTGAAACTTACTTTGGAGTTTGTAAAGACTTCCTCTACTCAACCCCATTAGATAATTAGCTCCACCAAAGAAACTGAATAATCATGAATTATTACTAATTTTCCAATTGATGGGTAGCTCTTTGAATTTGGTAATAGGCCTCAACTTGTAAATCCAATCATTAAGGGGTTTTCCTAAATGCTTTCTCTTGGGCAACTTCCTGCAATGGGTTTTATCAATGTAGATTCTTTAATGCATCCACTTTTGCATTAAATTTTTGATGCATGGTCTTAAAATGCTTTTGCTTTTCTGGCAAATTTCATAATTAACTGATAATCAGAATCTTATATTGGTTCTTTTTAGCATGGTTTGTTCCACGCTCAGGTAAGAACATGATAAAGTGAATGAGTTATTTTTAAACATTCATAAGTGGAAGGACTGAAATTAGAAATCTCTGCCATAACAAAAAAAAAAAGAATCGATCACAGCAACTTCAAGTTCGCTATATTTTAGAAACTATTATTCCGTCGGCCAATCTTGATGCTCATGTGTAGTGATATAAAAGGACAAGGGGAATTCTTAAGGTAGAACTATACTAAAAGTTATCATGATCATAGTGCTGTCATGATCAAATAAGGAACAGAAAAACTATCACGATCATAACTTTCATATGTCAGCAGAATTGAACTAGAATAAAGAAAATATATAAAGAAATACAAACAAGTTTGAATTATGCTCTCAAATCTTTTCAAACTCTGAACAAAGTGGTAAATGTCTTGATGAATGGGAAACCCGACAAAACGCGAGTGTTGATAACATCCATCCATCTTCTCTCCATTAGTGTGCATTTGTCCCAGTGATGGTACATGAGTGCGCATAAAGAAGAGATGGTCTATATTGATGAATGTTCTCTCATTTTGAGCACAGATTCGCTGTTTACAAGTATCATGTACTTACATACAAGGCCTACAACACTACCGAGAATTGACATTGTCCAATTTGTTCAAAGGGGATTCATCTGATCATTCCTTCAATACAACAAGTATGTCAGCAAATCTCACGCATTTGTTACTCAGCATTGGAAAATGGAAATAGAAATATTCATCCAAATAGCACATCTCAAGTTCTCAACCAATATAAATGTAGCAAGCAAAGTAGAAATTTGTTCTCTGGCAATACTTAGACTGAATCTTCCAAAAACTAGAGCCACCAATTAAATAGATAATCTTCTTTTTTATTATTGATTACATAGAAAACTCACATGCTTCTATCTCGATACTGAGCTTCTTTCTTGTTTACGTATCTAAGAATAAAATACTTAGAGATAAATGAAGCTTTCAATTTACCCTCAACCCTTGTCCTAAATAGCCCATGCCAAAACCAACAATTTTATTGCTAATTCACATGTAATCCATCACAATGTTAAATTAAATTTTCTTGTGTAGCTCCAAAGATGCTCTTCTTGTTCAGCCTCAAAGATTAGAAATGTTGATCATATCCTAAACTTGGTCCTTGTAAGATCTATCTAGTTCCATCATTTTTTCCTCTTTTGAAAAAGATGACGAGCAGCTTCTTTCTCTTCCTGGTCAGCGAAAAAAGGTAATTTATTTGATGACTCACCTGCAATCTATCACAATAAATGTGTTACTTGTTGTAGCCCCATAGATGCATTTTGTTTTGCCTCAACGACAGGAAATGTTGATCATCATCCAAATGTTGGTCTTGGTAAGATTTAACTAGTTATATCATTAAAAAAACGAGGATCCTTTATCAAGATAAATGTGGATACTTAATGGAGATAATAGAACTTCACATATCCAAAGCAATTAGGAGGTTAAGTAATCCCACATATACCCCTAGATTCACCCAGCTGTCTGCCATAGACTTTGCTTCTCTAAGAACATGACATAAATCCCATATAAAAACTAGCCCCATGACTCACTAATATTGTCAAAATAGAATCTAGCCTCCATGTCTTTAGGTGTCTTATATTTACCATCTTAAATGAGTTCAAGGAATCACCCTCTATACATGACCTGAAACGATATGTATAAACTCGGTGAATCCTCAGACTCACCCGAGTCACTCGGATCTAGGCAGTTCTAGAAGACCCTAGCTCAGACGATTTGAGCGACCGAGTCTGACCATGTCTCACTGAGTCTTGACCAAGTATTTCCAGCTCTGTAAAGTAAATCTGGCTTGAGTCTTCACTAGTCGGACTTGGGATCTGGTGAGCCAACTCGGACTGCCCCCTGCCTGGTTTCTTTCAGATCCATGTTTTAGACACTATCCTGAAAAATCCATTGGTAAGAATGGAATCCAAAAAAGCCATCTCCATGCTTTAGCAAAACGAAATTCTTCTTTCTTTCCTGAACAACCCATGAGACATTTCATAATTGTGCCACTGAACTCGTGAAAGTGGCTGCTCCAAGATTATTTGTTATTGCAACCATCGAAATTCAGCTTGAGCATCCAGTAAGAGGGAGTCCACTTGATTGGCTTTATGTTCTTGAATTGGCACTCAAAGCCAAGCTCTTGGAGTTCCAATTATAATGCATATTATTTAAAGGTATATAGTCTCCATGGCCACTACAAAATCAACCCAATTTCTTCAATTTGCACTTAGAGTCACTAAGAAAGTTTTCTTCGTAATATAACTGAAAAGAATAGCTGGTGTCATCTTCTTCCACTACTTTCTCTCCTAAGATCATAGCATTACACTCCTTCCATATATTATGGAGGATAAACTCAAAGGAAAGGATCCCAAGAGGGGTTACTAACACATTCTTACCACTGAACTACAGACTATCCTCATATCCAGCATCACTAGAATTGATAGATACTCTAAAATAGGTATGCAAGAATACTTCCCTGAGAGAAACCCTAAAACTTCATCATGAAACCAAAAGGAAACAAAAAGGTTACAAATTCTCTTGCCACTTCAACCAGAAAACAAACAAACTAAATAGATGAGAATGACAACCAATGTCCCAATACCTATAAAACCACTTTTCCTTACAATACTAAAACTTCCCAGAAAAAGAGAGCAAAGAAAAGCATCTCTTCTTCATTCTAGACTTAAACTAAGCCTCGCACTAATGATGTATATAGCCACTATATGAGAGGATAGTGGGGAAGAAAGTTCATATTTGATACTTGTGTCATAAAAATTTGCGGAGCACCCAACCTGTTAAACATCAAAGAAGTATAACCTCGTAATAGCACTTTCTAAATGTCCAATTTCAGCTATCCATAGTTTGAGTCAACTTTGTTCAAGCAAGTAACCTATATTCTCATAAATTTCAGCTATTCATGCTTTGAGTCAACTTTAGTCAAGCAAGTAACCTATATTGTCATAAACATCCTCTCCCCACACCTCAAGAGAGCAAAATCCAAAGGATAGTGAAGTCAAAAGAAGACAGGAAAGCACCCAGACCCTAGTCTTGGCAAGATGCACCATTCTTTCCATACACCGTAATGAACCTGATATGTGGATAAACTTTTCATACCACTCAATAAAATATTCAAACTGGGTAAACAAAACACATAAGGCAAGAGATTTTCAAGGATGATATAAGATAACATAAAAACAGGACAATGGGAACATTATCATTCAACTGTAGTCAAAGCTCTGAGTGAGAGGTGCAACAGAGTGAAGCTGACAACAATAACCCAAAAAGCAAACACAGTAATTTACTCTCCCTTTCGAGAGAGAGAGAGAGAGAGAGGTACCTGAAAGGTATGGGCAGGGAGCTGCCATCCATGGCGCCTCACCATGAGTGCAGCACAGGAAGAGAGGGAAATTGGATACTTCTCTTTAGAGAGCAGAAGATATCATTCAACACCACTTTCACTGTGGATCAAACCCATTTCGCTGGAATCCACTCAACCCCAAAGCAACATAAGATATACCGAATCAACAATAGTACTAAAGTGTCATCAACTGTTCTGTTACCAACATAGGGAGAGGGGGGTTTCATGAATGAAAGAGTGCATAATATGAAAGCGTTGACGTTTGAGAGTACAACGGCATTAGTTGGGGTCACACCTAGTAGGTGGGATTCGTGTGTGATGGATCATGGAATCTTTAGCTTTTCTTAAGCCAAGAAAAGCTATGAAACACATATACCCTGCATATGTAAAGATATTGACGAAAATGACCATATGATCCGGCCAAAAAAAATTGAGCGGCTCTAAAAATGGCAGCGACTTTGTGGTTTGACTACTGAAGTGCCGATGTTAAAAATACAGATAAATGACCCGGATAACGGATCCTAAAAACTGGCCCGAATCATAGGATCAACGACCTGGTGGACAGATTCGAGCAAAACAAAAACTAGAAAATGGAGAAAATATAAATTAAAAATTAATAAAAATAAATGGTTGTTAAATTAAAAAAATAATAAAAATAAATGGTAGGGTTGGATCAGCCAGATCTTTAACAAAACTGACCGATTTGAGCCAATTCCCGATATATGGTGGGAACTATATTGACTCCATTAATTCTTGATCTAGATCAGGTGATTTTGATCTAGATTAACAATTTTTAAAACCATGATGACTACCATAGGTGGACGTGGAATATGAGTATCATATTATGTACTCATGACAATGATACATCATTTCCCTTTAGCCTTTGTATTTAATCCCATTACTCATTCTAAATTAGATTATTTTATAATAACTATCACTCCCCTTTAGCCTTTGTATTTAATCCCATGACTCATTCTAAATTAGATTATTTAATACTAACTACAGAAAATATCATTTAAGGGATAAATGCTTATAGCAAAGCTAAAAGAATATTCTCTTGTGGGAGTATATTGTCCATTTACTCCTTCGAGTAACCCCATTTAGGATTAATTTTGGGATCCCAAATTTGGAGATGTAACTTATTCAACTCATATAATTAACTTCAATAAAAAAAATCATAATTGCGCCCTCTATGAACTTGAAAAATATAATGCTGCAAGATTGAATAGAGAACAACTAATTTTTAGAGGGTGGGTGGTGGGCCCTGGTATTTCGTAGGGAAAATACTCTTTCTTAAAACCGCGGGACTCTTCACCTTTTTCGTGTGTTTTGAAAGAGAGAAGAAAACGTGTGCCACCACTCCCTAAGACTCGTGCGTGCGTGTGCATGTGGTGGACCCCGATACTCACAAGGATAAGGGTTGGACGGTGAGGTGTGTTCGATTCGAACGAACAAAAAAAAGATTGTGACATAAGGCTTACCTTACGATGGTGGGGTTGGATGTACCCGAGCAAACATGCCCTCTTAAATCCTAGCACCTTAGAGAGCCCGCAAAAAGCCATTCAGCCTTTTAGCTCGGTTTGAAGCCAACTCCTTCACATCCTTGCTTGGTTGTGCATGATCGAATGGTTGGGGTTGAAGACCCTTGGTTCGTCTCTTGGGTTTTGAAAAGGGTTGTGCTTGTATGAGAGAGTGTGGTTGGGATAAGGGTGAGCCAAGGTTGGATGAGAGACTAGGCTTAATAGGTCAAGGTTGAGGGGAACTACTTTATAAAATTCGCTAGCCTTCTGATGTCACCTTCCCTAGGAGGCAATACCGAAGACGGGATAAAAGTACTAGGCACTAGGCCCAAGTACGCTAGAGCCTTGTCAAGGGTACCTACCAGGCCTTACTCTGACACATGAGCCAGGCACAAGTCTCCTTAAAGAATGGGGATTAGATAGGTTCACCTTACCTAGAAGGCAATACCGGAGACGAGATTAAGGTACTAGGCACTAAGCCTAAGTATTCTAGAGACTTGTCAAAGGTGCCTATTGGATTTTACTTTGAGGCGTGACCCAGGTGCAACTCTCCTTAAAGAATGAAGTCTAGGTAAAAGTCTAGGATGGGAAAGACAAGTGAAAGGATAGAAAGGTGGAGAAGAGAGAGTAAGAGAGAAAGAAGTGGGGAAATAAGAGAGAGGGAAGAGAGAAAGAAAAGAAGAAGGGAGAAAGAGGGAGAGAAGAGAGAAAGAGGGGGTAATAGAGAAAGAGAAGAGAGAAAATGGAAGATGAGAGGAAGGAAGAGTGAAGAGAGAGAGAGAAAGAGAGAGAGAGAAAGAGAGAAAGCAGGAAGAGAGAAACAGAGAGTGAGAAGAGAGAGAGAAAGAGAGAGGAGAGCAGAGAGATAGAGAGAAGAGAGGATGAGGAGACTTGTGCCCTAGCCACCAGTGTGAGGGAGAGAAAGAGAGAGAGAGAGAGAGAGAGATAAAGATGGGGAGACCGATGGCCTAACCACTAGTGGGGAGAGGGAGAAAGA